ACCGCAACCTCCACCTCCTGGGTTCAGGCAATTCTCCTGCCTCAGCCTCCTGAGTAGCTGGGATTACAGGCATGCGCCACCATGCCCAGCTGATTTTTTGTGTGTGTGTTTTTAGTAGAGACGGGGTTTCACTATGTTGACCAGGATGGTCTACGATCTCTTGACCTCGTGATCCACCCGCCTCGGCCTCCCAAAGTGCTGGGATTACAGGCGTGAGCCACCGCGCCCGGCCTAGAAAAGTTTTAAGTTGTTAGCCAATCGGGTTTTAGATTGTGAGGTCTGGCTCCAGCCAACAAGGATCAAACACAGCAGTAAGGATGACCCCAAATGCACAAGAGATAAATCTGTGTGTTTTCCTTTGTTCATTGTACTCTTGTGCCAACATGGCTAGTGAGAGTACCCTGCCTGTAGTCCAGGAAGCAAAAATTGCGTTGCTAAAAGATCCTTTGTCTCAGTGCTGATTTTTCTTTGCGGCACCAAGCATCTATTTCCAATAACGTGCAATAAACTTTGACTTCTGTTAATCTGTTTTTGTCAGTTTGATTCTCAGGTCCCAGACTCTGAACCTAAGAGATCAGATGAAAGATTTTTTTACCCCTATAAAACCATAGTGATGGTAAGAACCAGGGTTTTGGACTCAGACTTGGGATCAAGCCCTGGATCCACTACGTATTTGGCTGTGTTGTTGAACCTTTCTCAATCTCATTTTTTCATCAATATAATGGGAACAGTAATGGCATCTACTTGCTTAAACTGGCAAGACTAAATGAGACAGAGTAAGTACCTGACGACGGCTTGTACTCAACATTAGCTCTTATGAATACAAGAAGGCCCTTAGAAAGGAAAGAGATTTTGCATTTTTTTTAAATGAAGCAATAAAATCATGGTTTTTGTGTGTATAGATCTAGTTGAGGAGAAAAGTAATTACAGATTTTCCCCCCTTACTCCAAGATAATCTAAACAGATTTTACTGTGGATGGTTTAATTATAACATAATCCATGAAATTGTTGCCAGTGGGTTAAATAAGAAATTGATGACAAATTTGTTTTCTCTAACAACTACACAAGAAAACTCAAGTGCCATAATGAACACTGAGCTAAACTGCAGTCAGGAGGCGAAGTCCCTATGAGGTAATAATAAACCCACGAGGTTTAAGGCAAAACCCTATGGTTGTTTCTGCAAACAAATGTCCAGGAAACTCAAGTTGGTGATGAAAGACAGAACAGTCTTGAATTCAACTTCAACAGAACCTTTCCATCCCTGGGCTCCAAAGCACTGTCACCTACCTCTCCACTCAGATTCCCCACTAAGTACCATCCCATTGGACCGTGAGCGATTTGATTCCTCATGCCCCTGCTCCCTGGCTTCATTTGGAACCAACTGAGACAGACACACGAGTCCCTCTTCATTGATCAGCTGGAGGATGGAGCTATTGGCCTGGTAGCCAGGTGGGCTTGCCAATCCTGCACCTGTACCTTAAGCTTACCCAGTGTGAGGCCAGGTTAGAAAGTCACAGGCCTTGGCTGCGGGGAGAGGGCCTTTACTGTCATAGTGAAGAGCTTGCCAAGGACAGGACTGATTCTTCCTCTAGCCTCGCCAATCAGGGCAGTCATTGTTCTGCTGTCAGGAGGAAAGGGCCCAGAGGGGTCACATTGAGGAAATGTGTTGTGAGGGTGGAGGGTCCTGTCCAGCACTCTCACTTGCGCTGTTTAACCTGGGTTGACTCACTGCAGCTGGCACTTCTCATTTTCCATTGCCACAGCCATCTCTAGTCAGGAAGGCCTGGAGTACCCGGGGTGCTGTTTGCTTGGTTTCGTTAGTCCTCAGACTGCTCCCTTCAGAGAGAGCACAGAAAGCCTTCTCTGTGCCAAGGAGCCCCCCTTCCCTCCCTCACTCCAGCTCTGAATCTGGACACACTGTCAGCAATCAGACCCTCACCAGGTGCTCAGCCTCTGTAGGGGTATGTCACATTGCCATGCCTGGTGGCTCTGGGCAGCTGTTTGGGACATGTAGTGCTTGTGTCTTGGAATACAAAAGTTGTGCTTGAATCTGGGACTCTCTGTGACCCTGAGAAAAATCACATCAGCTCTCTGAACCTCAATTTTCTCTGATCTATAAAATGAAGACAGTATCTACTTCATAGGGTTGATGTATTTGATGAAAATATGTATAAGCAGTGCCAGGGACAAATAGTAGGTGCTCACTGAAGTGTGGTGCTTACGTTAGTTATTATACAGTTACACATGGATTCCTTAATTCCCCATTAAACCATGGTAGATGAATGAGGAAAATGCAGCAGGGAGTCCATCCTAGAAAACCCAGCCACTCCAGATCATTTTGCCAGCCTCACAACTGAGAAGCTTCTTATTCAACCTGCTAAGACATAATGATAATAAACATACAAGAGAGGCCTCTGTCACAGGTGCTTGTCTTAACTGATTTAACTTTTCTAAAACCCTAAGCCTATGGTTCTCATTTTCCAGATGAGAAAATTGAGGCATGTAAGGTTAAGTAACTCTCCTGAGGGTGATTGATTGGCATCAGAGCTGGCATTCCGTATGAACAGGCCAGCTCTAGAGGCCAGGGTGTTTGGACAGCCTCCAAATTGTCACCCCAGCCCTCAGGGCAAGGCCACACACATGGGCTCTAGTCTCTTACACCTCTTCTTGGGAGGAGGCTGGCTCTGAAAGTTGTTTGTGCCACAATTTAAGGACAAAGCTATTCTGGGAAGCCCAGAACAGTCTTTCCTTTATTACTCATCTCAATTAACCATTGTGTTGGTCTGGCCTTGGGGGTGTAGGCATTCCCATCTCCCTTTCAAGAAAGTTTCTAAAAAATGCAGACCAGCCCTTATTCTTGTTTTCCAGGGTAAATGTGGTCCTACCTACTTGCAGAGTAAAGCCTTAAAAAAATAAGCTGAAACTTGAGAAGTAGTTTAGTGGAATAGGGAGAACAGAGGCCTCGGAGATGAGGGAGCTGAGTTTAAGCCCCAGCAGTCAGCATCACTAGCCATGCTACCTTGGACGAAATAACTGTAGCTAACACTTAGTGACCACAGTGCACCATTGCATGTTCTCATGTTCTCCTGACAGTAGCACTTACAGGGTAGGTCTGTCAGAATTTTCTATCCACAAGCAACGGAAGCTGACACTGAGTTATTTTGGAGGACTATGAGACAGCTCATGAACTGAAAGCTCTTCAGAACTCTGTTTAGGGGCTGCAGAGAACAGGGCAACTTTAAGGATCCAGGTTGCAGGAAGGAATCGGTGGCCTCTTCAGTATGGCCACTGTGGTGGTAGACACTGTCTACCTTGCTTGCTGAGTCTTCTGACTTCCTTCTTTTTCCCTGTGCTGGATGCTTCCTTCCACTCTCCCTCCCCTTGGACAGCAGACTCCAGGTTCTTCAGCCCTTGGACTCTGGGACTTGCACCAGTGGCTTGCCAGGGGCTCATGGGCTTTTGGCCACATACTGAAGGTTGCACTGTCAGCTTCCCCAGTTTTGAGGTTTTTGGACTCAGACTGAGCCACTACTGGCTTCTCTCTATCCCAGCAGACAGCCTATTGTGGGACTTCGCCTTATCATTGTGGGAGCCAATTCTATTAACCTCCCTTTCATATATACATATAGCTTTATTTTAGCTTACCCCAAAATAATAGGAGTGTGTATAAACAGAAAGCTTTAGTTTAGATAAATAAGATTATCCATTATAAAAATCTTATATTGAATAGCCTATAAGTTATCTGAAAAAGAAACTTCTGACTAGTTTTCACTCAAGTCAAAGTCAGTGGGGTAAATGCATTGTGATCTCGAGCAGAGAGTCAATACTTTGTGCTCTCCACTGGAAACGTCTTTATAGTATTGCCTTTGGGTCCAGGCATTCAACGTAGTCTATGGCACGAGTCACAGCAACTTTCTGCAGAAAGAAACCCCAAAGTTTAAAGCCATTTATATGTCCCTTGTTGACTCTGGCAGCTCAACAGCCCTCTCCCCATCTCCCCATTTAGTAGCACCCAGATTCTGCTTTAAGGACTACCTTCTTCCCAGTGTAGTCTGGCCAAAAGGTGGGTACATGACACAAGACAGCAGTAAGCCAATCTCATCCTAGAATCTGAATCCTGAAAGAGATTTCCAGAGCTGCCCAACTCCTGGCTTTTTGGAGTGTGGCTGAATTTCCCACCCCCTCACCCCCAACAAAGTTTCAAAATATTCATTTTCTGCTTAGTCAAAATTGGTTCTCATTCCTTAGAACTCACATGAAATGAGCTTCTTTGCTCAGCCAGTGGCTGTGGGCATGGTCAGTACT